ATTACACCACTGGCGATGGCGGGCATAAGCACCATCGCGAGCGTTTGACCGATGAGGGCATTTATCAGTCGCAAGATGTGCACTATACCAACACCGTACGAGATCATGAGCGGTAGGACTTTCTGGACCTGTCTTTTGGATGTGGCCGCATCTTCTAGATGCTGAGTCGCGTTGAGTCGCGTTGGAGGGCTTGAAAATAAGTGTAGGTTTCTGTTTGATAGTATAAAAGTAGGACTCATTCATTGCTTCATTCAAGTAGCTATATAAACGTTGATATTACGTTAGCATACTATATCCATAGCAAAGCCCCCATTCTGTGGACATTGTTAATTTCATTAATAGCATATTGTTCGAGATAATCATGTTGTCAGGTGTCAAGGGGTATTGGCTATGCTGCTTGGTGCTTGAGAGAGTCTTTTAGACTCTGGAAAGCATACGCTGTTCAAGAGCTTGTCTCAAGCCTGATGTAGACATGAATAGTTGTTCTAAGCCCAAGAACCACCAGCGCGAATGACGGTCAGAAAATCAGACGCAGTTCAGGGGCACCCAATGTAACCATTTGTCCTTGACGATTGATCTTTGCCACGATTTCTCTTGTAAGTTCCATACTTGAGAGGGTGAATTAATAGTGAAGCTGTGCCACCAGAGATGGGGTTCATGCCGGTTTTGGCAGTTGACATCAGTTACTTTGGAGATGGCTGTCAACTGCCTTGCTAATCAAAAGTACAAGTAGGTCTGGTCCATTTTACTTACACTCAAGTGGTCTATAAACGTTGGTTCCGCAACCAAGACTAGATCTATATCAAACCAACCCCTTCAGCACCCCAGGCCGAATGCCCTCAACGATTTCAGAAAGCTCATCCCAAACCCTCTTCCCCGCCAAACCACCATCCTTGCCCTGCACCCAGCTGCCGAGAGCTTCCGGCGCAGGAATCCCATTCACCATAAAAGCACCGTGCGATTCCCTCCCGGCACTCGCACCTGCAATAACAGTCCTAGAACCCTGCTCCGCAGTCCTCGCAAACAACCTCTTCCAGAAATTAAACGCCACCTCTTCAATCCCCTTATTCTCCCTCGACAGCTCCGTATCGCAGAACCCCGTCTCAACCAGGTTGATAACGGCCCCGGGGTCATCGCCGAGTCGCGAAACAAGCTCCCGGGTAAGCAGGACACCAAGCAGCTTGGTCACGGGGTACCTCTCGTCCATCTTCGCCGTCTTCTCATCGCTCAGCGCAACGAAGACCCCGCGCGGATCCTTCCACTGCGGGAATTGCGGCCATGCGTGGACTTGGCTCGTGAGGATGGTGAGGTGCGGGGGGCGGAACCGGTTCGGGTTCTCGATGCCTGTCTTTTGGAGTTTGGGAAGCAAGATGAGCGCGAGGAGGAATGTCGAGATGTTGTTCACCGTCACCGAGGATTCATACCCGCCCTCGGCGAGGCAGAAGACCTTGGTGGCGACGGCTGCATTCGCGATGAATGCGTCGAGGCGAGTGAGCGCGAGGGCTTTATCCGCGAAAGCAAGCACGGAGGTCGTATCTGCGAGGTCGAGGTGCCAGACCTCGACACAGGTTCCTGGGGCGCGGCCCGTGGAGGATTCGATGGAGGCACGGGCGGCTTCGCCGGAGGCGAGGTTGCGGACTGCGAGGATGACTTTTGCCGCGCCGAGGCGAGAGATGTGTCGGGCTGTTTCGAGGCCGATTCCTGTGTTGGCTCCGGTGATGATGACGACTTGGTCGGCGAAGGTGTAGGGTGGTAATGGCGGGTGAACGAGGAGCTGGTTGTAGACGAAGGTTGGAAAGCCCATTTTGATCCGTGGACTACTTTGAATGAATGTGATTTTGGGGTATTGAAAGAATGGAATAATGAGATATAAAATCAGATTGTAAGCTTAGGTACCTTCTTATAGTCCCTGGTTGAAGCCGGATCGTAGCCCTACCCTGGGACCTGGCAACAGGCAGAATGGCTGACGCACTCGGACGAATGACTCGTACAGTATGTACATAGCGCACCAGGTCTGTAGGCAGCGGGCCAGATTCGCGTTCAACCCTGACCCGTTCGTATACACTAACCAAGATTAGAAGTAGCGCTGCTCAGCTCAATGACCCTGGGCCTATTTCAATCACATATGTTTCTCCTGTCATTGCAGAAGAGAATCCATCCTGTTTCTCCATCTCCGTCCGAAAACCCTCATGGCAATGATAACCCCACTACTTGCGATAACGATTAGGCCCACAATGGTGAACATCCACCCATTTCCGATGCCATTGATGATAGGCACTGTGACAAAAGAACCCACGCAGCTGAATATGTTCCTAACAAAGGTGCTCAGCGCGACACCCTCGCTGGAGCGCTTCGGTAGAAATTCCGTCAACATCGTTGTGACGACCGCAAAAATCAGCATAGAACCAACCCCAAAGAAGAAATTCAAGATCATCGACGCGAGCCAGAAGACGCCTTTGTCAACGGTCCAGCCGTACCAGATTAGGCCGGCTGGGTGGAGCAATGCGCCAACAACGGCGTTCTCGCGCATGCGGTCCTCGGGTCGGTATATCAACTTACCATTTTCGTCGTAACGGTTTGCTTTTCTGGCTTCGCGAACCATAATTGAATCAATCCATTTGCGACCCAAAGATGCTGGAGACCGAGTAGCCGAGCATGATACAAACTTCGTTCGATGCTGGTAGGGAATCCGGTATCTCCCAGTTGGTGGAGCTTGTTGTTGAGGAAGCCGAATCTTCGGCCAACTGTTGCTGCTTCCGCTGTTGGGTATTGAACGACACTGCGTGCGCCTGTATTTCAGCAGCACCAGCGGGCCCCTCATACGGTTCGATCCCAATCGGAGAAAGACAGCGGCCAACTCAGCCTGCAATATTATGGATACCAGGGAGGACAGCCTAGTCGAGGATGTACAACAGGCCAACGATCAGTGTGTCGAAGTTTTTCATGGGATCAGCCTAACGAGAATTTTGAGGCGATGGTCGGCATTGCACTCGAAGATTCCTTTGAAGGAGAATCTGAAAGCTTGAGCAACGCAAAGATACCTATTCCTCGCCAATATCAAGATAGTGGGTGGAACGTGACGAATTCCTTGACCTGGGCAGCAAATCCCATGCGAAGAGCTTTGGTCGAATCTGCGCAGTCCTTTCGGCCAACCCAGAAGATCGAGACTGAGGCAATCGTTAGTTTCAACCAATCAATTATCCGACAAAGTAGGTTACGCGTGGTCCTTATGTGTGGGAGTGCAGTGCAAAGTCTTGTTCTACCCATTAAGCGCGAGGAGACACGTCTCAAGCTCGAGTCTGGGGAGTTCCCCATGTTTCTTGACGTTAAAAACGGAATTATCAACCGGATTTATGTCTTAATACCAAATCCAGTTGATGCATTTCTCCTCCGAGAATGGCGCAAAACTCACAAGATATCCGAGGCGCTTCATTTCGCATCAGCTATTACCAACACCGTCGGTATCCGCCCTTACGCAGGTGACAGTGGATGTGTCCTGACAAAGGCCATCCGAGATTTCATAGATGAACGAAAAGGACTTCAGAACCCTTTAAAGCTCGATGAGCTCCATCCGATGACTCGCCTGTGGCTCACACACAGAGGGTTTTCGAAAGACGAAGATATTCTTCTCTTGCAGGAATGAGGAGGTGGGAGTCTTAGCAACGCAATCCTTGTCTTGCTTCATGTGACCCCACATTTTTCTCGAAGCTACCCCACGACGTCCTCTATAAGCTCATTTCACAGATCAACGAAACGTCGAACCCCGGAGTTCAAGATTGATAAAGCACAACTTGAATCAGTTCGTGATCTCTGTGACCAATTGAGTAAGAAGCTCCCCGTTGAGATAGACCATCCCATTGATCGTTCAATCCACGATATTGAGGCCATGGAAGAAGAATTCGAAGAAGAATTGGAACATGAGGTCGGAGAGGCAGATGTTCTCGAAAGAGAAAACCTGGAAACTTCTAAGATGTCCATCGACGACCACGGAACATTTACACTAGCCATTGAGACCCTAGTCGCACCCTGGGTAGAAAAAAAAGCCTCGTTCTGGTGCTGGTGATCGAAGCTTTACTATTGGCGACAAAACTCGAGAGGAACTCCTACAGGGCCGCAAGTATTTCGGAACTCGGACGAGAAGAAACAATATCTTTGTTGTGACAGTACACTCATTCATTGAGCTTTTCCTCCAAGTTGAGAACCCACCAGATGAAGCCATCGTTAAGGCCGAGATTAAACCACGCGGGCAGCGGCATACACATGTATGGGCCCAAGAAACACTCGCGACAGATGCTGGGTCACGGTTAGCTTTTCGCGTTACGTACTCGAAGGATGCGGTGGAAACATCGTTGTATGTGACGTCGAACCTGGTAAGAGATCTCTATAAAGCCAATTCGTTTGTCCACTGGATGGAGGGGGAAACTGTTGCGGACATCATTACAAGACCAAGACAATTTGTTACTGTGAGCTCATTGACCAGAACGCTTCCCAGGGGTATTTCGCAGCCCGGCTCTTACTATACCAATGAGCAAATCACCTTAATCCCCGCCAAAGGGTTTAACCCACGCAAAAGGCACAGAATAGATACAATTTAAACAAAAGTCGCGACTCTTGGGAATCTTGACAGCCTCGGTAAAGGTTGAGACGCGTGGTAGCCGTAACTTGAAAAGGGATCGATAAGCTTATTCGCTGTTCATTCGGGCCCTTGCGGCTGAGGTTGTTGAGCTTGACCCATGATGTGGCAATGTTTATTGATGTAGTACATTTACAATTTGAAGACACTAAATACTAGTAGGACTCGCAAGAAAGAAAGAAAATGCTGCTCTGGATCCAGGTAATTAGGCAGACGGTTCACAAAACCCTACCTACAGCGTGGTAGCACCATGCCGCAGAGCTACAATGTACATATGCATACATACTCTCTCTGATTCTGCCTGACAACCAAGCCTTGGGTAAGGGGGACAACATGTCACAGGGGGAAAAAAAAAAAGAAGGATGCTGGCCCGAGCCGCGGATCGAACGCGGGACCTCTCGCAAACATGCTAAGGGTAAACCCCTGGAGATGGTTAGAACCTTTATTAGTCAAATGTGAGCTGGAGACTTACTAAGCGAGAATCATACCACTAGACCACCCGGGCATTTGATATTCGAATTAGAAGGTCAAATGAATAGAGTATCAAAAAGCCATCTTTAGGGCAAGTCAAGTAGCAGGAACTAGAAAGAAAAAGATAGGTCCAAGCCATTCGCACTTATGCGGGTGGATTGGACTCTAAAAGGTGACTTACTAAGCGACAATCATACCACCTGGGCAATATTTTTTTGGCAGAAATATTTGGATATAATAATACATGCAAAGTGAGCTTCATTGTAGGGAGAGGGAAAGAGAGGAAGAAGGATTGGGGGAAAAAAAATAATTTACTGGCCCGAGCCGCGGATCGAACGCGGGACCTCTCGCAAACATGCTAAGGGTAAACCCCTGGAGATGGTTAGAACCTTTAATAGTTAAATGTGAGCTAGAAACTTACTAAGCGAGAATCATACCACTAGACCACCCGGGCGTTGGATATTTGACGTCGGGAATATCCAATTTACACCCAATGACCATCGCGGCCGGGCCAAATGCACTCATTGTCCTTGCGAATAACTTTTGTCCTCTACTATCCTGCTATTGTTTAAGGTGGCAACTGTATGTAGTAATAAATATTTCACCCATTTATGTGTTTCTAGCCCTACGTCAAGGGTGGGGGCACCATTTAGCTCATGTATGGGCTTTACTAAATAACTTTCCTCTGTGTACTAAGAATATTGTTTGCTATATATATGGCAGATGCTATTGTACCCTCCCCTAGGGTCTAGCAACTCCACCACTATCACCTTAACTAACCTAAATAGTATATGAACAAAGCACCATTCACTTCCAATTCTATACATCAAAGACTATGTGCATGTTGATTCTCAAGGAGGTCTGATAGAGGTATAGAGGCCATTAGTCACCTATTGCCCATTCCTGGTAACTATAAGGACCTGAGGCCTGAAGGGGTTGTGATAAGTGTGAAAGGGTATAAAGGCACTTAATAAACAATATTAATAATAGAATCCATGCGTGAATCAATAGTCAGGTTGGTAT